ACCAAAATGAATTTTATTTTTAGGTCAAAGGGAAAACTAAACTACATTTTGCTACAATGCTTTCATTATTGCTGAGGCTGAATAAAGTTTATTTTATTACTCTTTGCAATTACAAATTGCTTATGCAAGTTTCTTATTTTTATCAGATCTTAGTGTTTATTTTGTGATTTCATTTTTTTCAGAATAAAATGAGTTGGGGGTTTCTTTCTCTTCCTAAGTTTACTGTTTCTATAAATTCATAAATATATTTGACAGAGGGTATAAGTCAAAGTTTATAAATCTTGTGGACAAATCTGTTTCAATCATATTGCAGACCCAAATGTTTTTTGTTTTTTTAATTTGGTTAGTTCCTTCCCAGAGGAACTAACCAAATTAAAAGACCACAGTCTGAGGTGCCCTGTTCATTGGAACTCCAAAGCCCTGCCTTGTAGAGGGGTAACTTACAGCTCCTAGTAACTTCAGAAATTTTCTATACCCTCTTCAAGAGAGAGAACCATGTGCATTTGTTATAAAACCATGAGAAATGGTTAGTAGTAGTCAATTGACATTTATAACTTTTTCTTTCGCAGATTTTTTAATTTATTCTTTTCAGTTATATTCAACACCAGGATACACGTTGACAATATCACAAAGTGTGGTATACTACTGCCCCAATTCAGTCCCCAGTGCCGTCCCCACCCTGCCCCCACTCCACTGATTCCTCTTGGATCCATTTACAGTTTCCTTTTATAAAAATTAGTGTCCTGTGGATACCATCTGCCATCCTATGGCAGATCTGTTTTCTCTTATTACAACTTTTTGCTTTTGGGGATTGGTTCTATTTTTAAAGTAGCCATCATCTTCTGCTCTCTTGTGACAGAAAGTCTTTTGCATTCAGCCAAGGATTGCCTTTGTCTTTCTCATAAATATGTTTTGTACCTAGAAGCTTCATTACATTTATGGGCATCCCCTTTTATACAAAGGAATTCTGTATACATAATATTCTGTAAACATAATAATTCCTGTCAGAAATCAGTGAGTCAATGCCCATGGTGCCTTTAACCCATGTGCATGGTAAGAACTCATAAATGGAGTTTTGATAATAGTTTAATCACGATTCATTATCAGAGTCATGATAACAACATTATGGCAGAACTAAAACATATGTGTTTATTTTTGGCAAGAGTTTGAAGAAAGGGGCACCTTCATGTAGAGGTATCATCTTTGCACAGCACCAACTTCCTGAATAGCCACCCTGAAATATGCATTGAAAACCAGCAGATTCAGCTGGCAATGTGGCTCAATGAGAAGGGACTTGGCCAGTGTTCATGAGTCCCAGAGTTAGACCCCAGCACCTCCAAATATATAAATCAATAAATTTAAAAACTAGCAGATTCACATATCCCTTTACCCAGAAACTCTATTATCTAGAGTTTTACAAAATAAATTATCTAGTGTTTTATAAAATAATAAAGTGGGTGGTGAATAAAGTTAAATTATACTCTGTCATGGTATGTAAGTTTTCTTATAGTATACTCATCTAGTCATATTGTGCACTAAAGATAACAAAGAGAAATCCACCTGGACCTCTGGGATAACTCTAAAATCAAAATTATGCATCCTCGCATGTACCTGAGATTTCTAATAATGTCAAACTCTGATGCTTGAAGCAGAACAGTGGTGTCCAGCAGAGAAGGAGAGGAAAGCATGGGCAGGGGATTACAGATGTCAAGTGACAGTTATGTAAGATGTCTAATGTCCAGACCTCTGCTATGCAACTTAGTGCCTAGGGCTAGCAAGTGATATTCTGCACTTGACAATTTGTTATGGGGACAGATCTCATTTTCAGTATTCTCACCTCAGATGAAACAGAAAAACAAAGGCATGCCCTGGGAGGAGGTAAATGTGTCTCTGATTTTCATTGTAGTGATGGGACCACCAGGATTTGCATATGTCTGCACTCATCAGGTAGCTTATGTCATATATGTATACAATGTAACTACACTACAATAAAGCAGGTTAAAACAAAAGTACTAGGGACAATACATGGAAAGTGACCCTGTGCATGCTGACAGTCTTCA